TTTCAAAAAACGGATTAAAAAAAAGGGAAAAAAAAGGCCCAAATTCTGTAAAATATTAACTGAAAGATGAAATCTATCAAATAAAACCTGACATTGCTGCCTCCTGATGGTGCTACATACATTTTATGGCCTCTTGTTCAGTAGGAGCAGGAAGCAATGTTTTTTTTTTTCTGCGTGAATTGAAATGAGCTGAAACGAACTGTCAGAACAAAGAAAAACTGTTGGAATGTTTCATGGAAAGATGGTTTTCTGAGGACCCTTCTTTGAGAGGAATCTGAGTGAAAACTTCATTCGATGCAAATCAAATCTACATTTCCCTTCTTTTAGAGATACAAGAGCTGCTCCAAAAGCAATGCCTCTTATTTTATGATGTTGGTCCACAACGTCAAAGGCAGATGTTGGTGGTACGGCAGTAGGGGTTGAACCTTCTTACCAGCTTTCCATTACATGTGGTTGCTGTGTGACAGATGGCAGCAGAGGGGCAGTTGACAAAACGGCGTCTGACATGGAAGTGCGTACGAAGTGAAGGTGAGTCAGTGAATTGTGTCACGTGGAAAAAATGGTGCCCACTGATATTCACCAGTGCTTGCTGAACGTTTGTGGAGAACAGTGGATATGAGCACGGTGAGGTGCTGGGTTGTGTGTTTCAGCAGTGGCGACTGTGACAGTGAGTCAGCTTCACCGGTGTGAATTTTTACAAGTGTGGCATGCAGGCTCTTGCTCATTGCTGATGAAAAGGCTAACGATGGCAAATATGTTGAAAAACAGTGTTCTGTATATGAGAATTTGCTTTATCAAATAGAGTCAATTATACTCTTTGTATCTGCTGTAATTTCCAAGGAAATAAGTAGGAGGCATTACTTTTGGAGCAACCCACATATTTTTTGCCAGAACATTTATGACAAAACTCACAACAGAATTCCATATGGTGCTTCAAGAGGGCTATGTGGTGTTTTTCTCCCCACAACACCAATATCTCATTGTCGCCAAATACTGCAGCGTACCTCCAATCCCAATCAGCAAACAAAGTAACAGTGATCCTTTAATTATCAATCAATCATTCTACCACTTTTTTTGAGACCCCTCTTTTTGAGAGGTACAACCTGTATGTGGGCACTTCAGGGGACTGCTATGCCTTGCCACTTGCTGGGTACGTGCTGTATTGATATATAGTCTATGAAGCCTTCATGTCATCATTCTGGTAAAAATCTTACAATTCTGGCCAGCAGAGCTGCCACTGCCTAACTCTGCCAGTGTAAAGTTCAGCTCTAGAGTTATTGAGGACAGTTCTTTTACTGAAAATCAATATAGTTAGACATATCTACCTGGATCAAGTCTCCCTTAGGTAATAATCATAAACCTGACTCTTTGTGATATCTCAGAGAACTATCTAAACTGCAACAGTTCAGTTTCCCTCGTTGGTAAAGCAGAGAAAGAAGAGAATTACATATAAATACTTGTTTGTCATGATATTCCTTGTTAATCTGGTGATCAGTTACTTTCTTTCAAGTTTCCACAGGAAATGCCCTTAGCTTTTCAATTTGTAGTCTCAGATCAGGAACAGCAAATTTAACTCAACATCACAAAGCTGAATGCCGCAAGAAATTCAGACAAGCCAAAATTACCAAAGGATGTCTTTTCTGAACAAAGCTCGACTACATTCACCTTGACAATGAAGACAAACGTGTTTCTTCTGAGGACTGAGAAACACAAAGATGCAAGATCAGCACCCTCACCTCTCTCCAGTTCTTAGAGCTGTCAGCAACAGCAGTGACACAAAAATGATGTGCCCAACAGGGTTACATCAAGGTTTTCCAACAAACGTTTTTTCTCATTAAAAAATAAATTAATTAATTAAACAAAAGCCTTAAGTCAGCACAGCCAACACTAAATGGGAGTTTTCCTAAAACTCGTCAGACAACTTCATCTGAAAGATGTATATCAACCATATCACCAAGGTTTTTTTAATCACAGTGTGCTTTCCTCTGCTATTTATCTTCCTTCATAAACAGATGCAGATGTTTGCCTGTCCAATAGCCTGCTTTACTCACCTCAGGCACGAAGATGAGATTCCAGCTGTGTACCAAGAACACAAATGTGTGCAGTGCTCTAGGTGCTCCAGAAACAAGCAAACAAAAACAATAAACAGGTGTTAGTACACACTTGGACCCCAGCGTTCACCTGCATGCACTGCAAGTGCCTTCAACCTCTGAAAACCAGTTACATTGAAGGAATGAAGGAATCATAGAATGGCTCGAGTTGGAACTTGAGGCTTGAGTTGGAACGAACCTCAAGGATCATGAATCTCCAACCTCCCTGCCTCATGCGGGTCCACCAACCTCCCCATTTAATACTAGACCAGGCTGCCCAGTGCCCCATCCAATTTGGCCTTGAACACCTCCAGGGATGGGGCGTCCAGAACTTCTCTGAGCAGCCTGTTTCAGCACCTCACCATTCTCACAGTAAAGGAGATACATATACATATATATACATATTCAGAACTTTAGGGAACTGCATCCTCAAATATTTGAGGCCCTCACCATGAAAACAGCGGCAGCATTACATTTTCAAAGATTATCTCATGCAAAGAAACAAAGAACCAGTTGCTGTGACACACAGTGTGAACTTCTTCGTGAATTTATGTAGGAAAGTAGTTAGCATGGAGTTCTTTCTGATTTGGATGGAGGAAGAGAGCTACTAACTTTTGACACAAAGCTATGGCAAAGGAATTAAACATCCTTCAATCAAAGGGAAGAATAAACTTAATATTTAATATGCAAGCTCAATTATTTTTACAAGTTATGTTAGGATTACATTACATATTTCAGCCACCTTGTGAAATTTTAAATGGCAGCATGAGACACCAGTTCAGTGGTTTCCCAAACTGTTTTCATTCTTTGTACAATCTTCTTTATTATCATTCACTGTGTGCTTGGATTTATGTCAACCAGACAAAAATACTTGAGTCTCTGGGGTATTTTTTTCTCGGAATGATGATTGCTATTTTTACGAGTGGTAAAGCCAAAAGACTGCAATTGCATTGTGAACAAGGGACTTTAATGTTCTCAAGATGGAAAAATAATCTTACCGACTATTAGCTTTCAGCACTGCTCAATTGAAAAAACGTAATGCATTGTGTGCATCACTGAAGTCTTCTAAAAAGGTAAGAGTGAGAACAGTTGAAAGTAATCTTCAGAAAAATTTACCAACATTCAGTAAAACTTGTTCAGTAAAGCAATTGCATGGTTCGGCCTCACTCAGCAGGAAGAGGTAATTCTAATGCCAACTTGAACTCAATGTCAACTTGAAGAGAGTTTTGGGGCAAGGGTTAGAAACCCACTGGTAGTAAAAGCAACTCTTTGGAGCTTCTGGAGCTCTAATGGGAGCTTTTGCTCCCATTAACCTATCTGCTGCAGGTGTCCCTGTTCGTTGCAGGAGAGTTGGACTAGAAGATCTTTAAAGGTCCCATCCAACTCAAACCATTCCATGAATCCCTAAGAAACAATGGATTCATCTTTGCTAGTAGCAATCAGCTTCTTGCCACAGATTTCCTGCCACTTTTCAATTAAATGCTATCAGTTTAAACTCTTGGACACAGAAGCTTTTATTCCCTCTTCCCCAGCAATTAATTTTTAATGCTAACCAAATTGCAACAAGCAGAACTGAGGAGACAATGGAGGTGGTAAGGCCCCCTGAGGCTCACACACTCAATGCATGACCTCCTCAAGAGTGTAAGGGGAGTTGTAACAAACACTGTGTAGGCAAAGCTGATTCTGTTCTGAAGTTAAAAGACTAATTAAAAAAAATAAAAATAAATAGGGAATCAGTATGGGCCAAATTAACTACAGTATAAATGACTGTACCAGAGAATCTTAACTTGCATTAACAATCCAATTGAATTCTGCAAGAAATACATCTATAGTTTGAAAATGATGAGAGCTTCTTACAATGAAACCATTACGTTTTAAATGGTTTCTCTGGTCAAGCTCAACATACATTGATAACATATTTCTTTCAGCACTGTTTCAGCTTTTCTATCTACCTGATCATTCTTTCGTATCATCTAGCTTCCCACACCATGGAGTTAGCAAGTCATATTGCACCTACACCTCCTGATGCACCCTGAGGGAATAGCTAAGACTGAGCAAACCGGTCCCTTCACCAGTGCTAAGGGTGCTGAACATGAGAAAAATCAGTCATTTGCTCTTAATCTGTGCACTAAAACTATTTAAAGAAATAGAGAGAAAAAAAAAAAGTGAAAACAAAGGAGTTCTTTCAGAAGTGCATGAGCTCTGCACGGTGGGCTACAGGTTTGCAGGTACGTTTGTCTTGGTTCCAACTTACCGAATTCTGAGTATCTTGGAAGCCCCGGTTTTCAAACAGAATAAAGTAACATTAAAAAAAAAAACATTCTTACATTGCTAGCAAAAATCACCCCAAATCCCTGCCCACACTGAAATAAATAATGTTTGACTCCTTCAGAGAACTAAATATCATTCATCTTTCTTTAAAGAGACATTAACTAAAATGGGCTGTGCTGTATGAGTTACTTGAGGGCAATGAGTCTGGCCACAGCACAGTGAGAAGGCTGAGTGGAACATCAGCCATACCTCTTTCTAAACGAAGAGAGCAGTCACGCGAAAAGGATTTGATCACTTTTGCTTTATAGTCAATAGAACGACCTAAATTATGCTCAGACACTGCCATTTCACAGAGTAAGCCACAATGAAAGTAACTTGAACTACCTTCAACTGCTGAATGCAAGCTTTCACAGGGTCTGGACACATGGTCACACCACTGCAGGCAGCCAAGCCAACCAGTTACTGCTGAGGCACACATCTGACAGTGGGAAAAGTGAAGAAGAAAGGGAAGTATGGAAGCAAAGGAAGTGATGTTCAGTGATGCACTGCATATCTGCGCTTCACCTAAGGCAAGCCTCAGATTTCACCAAATTAACTGCTTTTGTAGACCAAGGGCTCCATCATTAAAATCCAACTCCGTTTTCTTCAACAGCATTTTATTTCAAAATATATTAAACATTTTGTGTTTACAAAGGACTGCAGTGTGAACACAATATTAAGTTAAAAGCTTCTTACACCAGCTACAAAAAAAAAAAAAAAAAGAAAACCCTTTATTAGGAAGAGGACTGGTGCATACAATCAAAATTAACAAAATTAACGAATTAACCTCTGCAGGCTATACGAGTACTTCTTAACCTTAAACCACATTCTGTGTTCTACCACCAACGGACACAGCGATCATTTTTCCAATACTATACATGCAAAAACAGGCACTGACCAAAACCAACTACGGTAACATTAGTCACAAACATAGTTCCATTCTGGAATTGTATCATGTGTACATTCACAGACAAATTTGAGTCAACAGACAGAAGTTATTGCTCCAAATCCACCCAAGTTCTGGTTAGAAATGCACATATCAGAACAACTTGCGCTCTGTAACGCAACAGATCTGCTTCTAGATTGCAGCAGGATCTAGCCAGTCTTTGCACACAATGTCACAAGTTCCTCTGGATTTGGTTTGGTGAAATTTACCAAAGAGAAAAAACAAAACTTCCCTACTCTTCTGACCAAAACATCAAACACTAGTTAACTAATGTGTAGGTAAGCATCTTGTATTAGTAAAGAAAGCTTATTTCCAGCCATCACTGAAACATAGTCTTTATTTTTAAAGGTAACAATCTGAACAACTTGTCTGCTTGCAGAATGTACCAGCGATGAAAGTGGAAACTGAAAACACTGAACTATCCAGCCAGCCAAACAACATGAAGTTGTTGTTTTACTGATACTTCCTCACAAAGCGTCAGTCTGAGGCTACGACTGGCAGAAAGGAAGGCAAAAATTTGGATGATGTTTTCCCAAAAGCACAGTCTGGACGGCAGTTCTTAAGCTGAATGAAATTCTGTTCTGCAGCTACTTTTTAGCTTTGTGACGCCTCTTACACTTAATCCACAACAAACCATGAGAAGTGACTACGACTTAAGGTTCTCATTGAAAGTCAAGAAGCAAAAAGTGAGGCTAGGAAAGTAAATCAGTATTTTTATTCTAAAATCGTGATGCTGAAAATCTTTCAGATATGTATGTGGATGCCTGAACGCTCAAGCTGCATTTATTAGCTAGCAAATGCATCCTGCTGCAAGCAAATATGCCCTGCTTCTGACTCAAACCTACTTCTGGAATTGCTGCATAATTCTATATTCAAAAAACAACCTCTAACTTATTAAAACACCAATTATGTTTGTTTGGACTCATCCATACGCAGAGCACAATAAAGATATTTTCACACAGAAGGTGGTGACGCACTGGAACAGGTTGCCCAAGGAGGCTGTGGATGCCCCATCCCTGGAGGCATTCAAGGCCAGGCTGGATGTGGCTCTGGGCAGCCTGGTCTGCTGGTTGGCAGCCCTGCACATAGCAGGGGGCTGAAACTGGATGATCATTGTGGTCCTTTTCAACCCAGGTCATTCTATGATTCTACGATGCACTTACTTGCCAACTAGCTATTCCTTCCTGAATTGGACATGCTATTTCAGCAGATATGCACAGCATGCCCTTCACGGAATCTACCCCAAAACTGCACGTGTGCAAATTCTTCCAGGACCAGTGATCTCTCAGCAATGGCTCACCAGACAGAAGAGCAGTCTTTCCCAACTTCACATCAACTGCAGCAAAACAGTTCTACTCATCCCACCAGCATCTGCTTGGCTCCCCTCCAACTTCCTTTAAAGTAAACATTAATTCTAGAAAATGGTGCCTGTTTTCACTACATACAGGCACTGCTTTGTTCTCAGATATCTTTAAAAAGACCCCTCTCCTCTCCCCGTCTCCCCCAAAAAAGACAATTTCAGTTCAAGTCCGATTATGAGAAAGATTGCTCCTATTTATATAATGGTGCATATAAGTATATACATTTTCAAACCCACATGGAATCCGTGAATATGATCAACACTTCTGTCACTGCTTCTGGTTTCAAAATATCAAGCTGGTTTTCCACATTCCAATTGTTGTTTTTTTTTTTTAAATTTCCAATTTTCTTACTTAAAAGCTATTTTGGAGATTTTGATCATAAAGCACTAAGGGCTTTTAATAAAAAAGACAGATAAATAGCAACAGGTTAAGGACACAACCTCCACGAGGTTTGTTATTAGGTAAATTTAGTTTTGTAGTAGTGTAAACTAGAAATAAGAAGGGAATTGACCTGCCAAAGCATGCTTCACCAAAAAGTATAAGACATAAATAGTAATAAAATTGAAATAAAAGCCCCAGATGCGCTTTTATTTCACTTTGAAAGATGATCTGTGTGTAGGAGTAAGAGGCACCAGGTTTCAATGAAGAGTATTTATTTGGAAAAGTAATCTTTCCATGCCAAGTTGCAAACTGCAAGGAAAACAACTGCACCTTTAGAACGCCTCTTCCATTATGAAACCTAATGAATGCTAACTCCAATTCCAACAGTTTTCTGCACCTTCTGAAGAAAGCCTGGCTGTTTCCAGAAGCGATTTACATAAAGGTAGCACTACATATATTGAGAAAATTAAGCTGATACAATAGGAACACAATGTCTGAATAAAAGCAGTTGTGGAAGCACCTTCTACCACTGATGCAAAGCCACAGAGCCTCTGTAGAATGCTATTTTCCTATCCTTTGTATGGGTCCACAGGGAAGGCAACACTGTACAGAATTCTGCCACTAGTATTCGGCATCAGTAAGTTGGTTCTGATACTGCTTTTACAGGGGTTCTGGGCTTTTGCACATTCAGACTTCCTGAAAAACACTGAACATTACAGCCAAACAGCTATTTCAGAAGTTACTGATAGTCGCTATGTTTAATATTGGAAACAGCACCCAACCTTCCCTTCACAGTCAATGCTCTTTTTTGTGTTTTATTCAGATTTTGGATTTCCTAACTCAATAACCACTGATGAAATACATGAAAGTACATCTTCCTCTCCAAAGTCTTGAAACAAATCCATACATTCCTTGAAATGAGGCAAGCTTCAAGGTACCTTAGTTGAAACAAACTTGTATGTTACCGTGTACATGAACATCAGACTTACTTCTATTATGAGACAAATGGGCATAAATTTAATTTCTGAAAAGGGCACACTGTATGTATGTATTGCATATTGTATGACTAGAATAATACACTTTTTTTTTTTTTTTTTTTTGTAAGTAGTTTCAAAATAAGCCATTACTGCTCCCAGCTGGTCACAGCGCACAGCCATCAGTGCACAGTGCTGGAAGTCACTGTCTTGTGCTACAGCTGGCAAAACAAGCGTGTGCCAGATTCTCATCCTTTGCAACTTGCTGTATTGTGCTCAACTAAGCCACTACCTACAGTGACCTGAAGCTAACAAGCTGGGCTGTAAACGGGCACACACGAACTTCTGCAAGTGCTGCTGCAGTACAGTAACGTTCAGCTAAGGTAAAGGAAGGAGAGAAAGGGCTAACTTTGGCACTGTGCAAAAACAGTTAAGCAATTATCACCAGCCCTTCGACACTGTGCTTACTTGCAATGAGCCTGATCAGCTAGCAGAGAGTGGTAACAAACATTATCAGTGTACTTTGCAATACCATGACACAGTACCACCCAGGTTTATTACTACAAGCATTCCCTTCTGAACTCTAAATCATTGTCTTTGTTCTAAATTGAATACTAACTATACCAAATACACCTAAGTACCCGCCCCTGGAATGGCTGCTTACAGCAAAGCTAAAGAACATCAACTTCTCACCTACAAGACATTAAGAAAGAGACTGTCACTGCTAAAGTATGCTTTTTAGTATACATATATATATATATATACATATATATATATTTAAATATGTCAGAATTCAGTGAATATTTCCTATCCTAAGAAGGTCTCATTGGAGATTTGCTTTACCATTTTCTTTTCCTTTTGGCAGCGTACCGTTGCTGAATTACCAAGTCACACAACTTATTTCTATATCAGACACAGCATGTAGCATGAGGCCCTTAAGCTATATTACCTGAGAAAGACTATACTACAGAAAGTTCTCCTTGGCAAGTCCTTGTTGAATTTGAAACAGGAAGCATCGAGTATGAAGATTCATTTCAAAGGAGGACAAGCTAACAGACTGTGTGAGAATTTCATCCTCTATACAAAATGATTTCTCTTCAAACTGGGAAAGGAACATTTCAAAACTGCAATGCACATCCTCAGCTGATTTCACTAATTTGCCATTACTGAAGATAACTGAAGAACTGAAAGTTTTAATCTTTGTAGTAGAGACCCTTGTTTGATCTAACACAAATGATCACACACAAATGGGAGGGAGGAGAGGAAAACTTAAAAGCAAGCAAACAAAAGATTGCCTTATGATGACGCTCTACAACGACTACGTTGCCTCAGGATTCGAAAAGGTTGTCTCAGAAAGAACTGGGATAAAAAATGCTGGCAATTTAAATGTCTTGACCAGTGAGCAAAGAGAAGCAACAGAAAACCAGAAATACATTAAGAATGCATCTTTCTTGCTAGTAATCTTTAAATGCTCACTAGATGAAGTTAGAATGTGAAGAAAGTATTTCAGTGCAAAATTCTGAACAATAACAACAAGAATAAAGAAGTTTCCCAAGTGTCATGGTGGTCTCATTTACACTGGTTAGAATGCTGCAGGAATATTTAGGGGCAGCCTCAGGTTGTCATCCTCCTCCTTACCCAGCAACAATTACAAAAATGGATCTTAGTAAAGATGAAGCAATCCACAAACCCAAGGAAATTAAAACATGGGCTGGTTACATAATTCAAGCAATACACTCTCCATGTTAAGTTAGTTGGAATTGATCTCTCAGAATTTCAAATATTAAATAGGATGCTTCCATACTTCGAAGAACCACCAAACCAGCAGTCAAACCACTAACTCAAGCCCGAGCCTGTCCTCCAAACACATACCTGGAAGCCTGCAAGCCCCAAACCAGCACACATGAAACCTCACGTTTTGGCAGAACATTTCATCACTAAAACCACAGTAGCTAAGTTAGAGAATTATGTTGTGTATCAACAGTTGCATTATGGTAAACAATAAATGCGAGGCATGCCTGTACTCTGCATAAACCTTGTCAATCAAACTGAATTAAACTCAAGAGAAGTTACCAGAAACTGAAAGGTGGTTCTTTGGTTAAGCACGTGCAACTGCTACTTTGTATGAAGAGCCTCAGTGCATTTGTGGAAGCTTTGACCAAAAAAACACTTTGTCTTCACAAAAGTATAAAGATCCATTGTGTCAAAATATTTCAACCAACAATACAAAAGGCCTTAAACTTCACCAAACTTGCAGTTTCAGCAGAATTACATATGAAAGAAAAACACTGAAGTAGTTTGTTTCTGTGATTGAGGCAATATACCACTTCAAGAATTTAAGAACTCTGCATAAATCACTAAGATATTTGGCCAGAGGCTTATAAGGAGAAAAACAAAAACAAAAAAAAAACCAACCCTACAACATAACAAAATCTCTACTCTTTCCCTTTCCTCCTTTGAAATATACTATTTGCTTGAAAAGTAAATGCTACTTGGTCACAGCATTTGAAAACTGATATAAAACAATCCCACTCAAGCTCTTTTTATTATTGGAAGAAGATGTGATAACTGTGTGTTACCTTAGGTTTAAAGTATTTAAGGCCTTTAATCAAAGTTAGCTGATACTGTGACCCCACTAGACAGTAAATTGACATTGGAATATCACCAGATCTGACCAGAAATAAGGGCAAGATTTAAACTACTTAAACAAGTCCTATTTCTAAACGACAAAAATTCACATTTCTCAATTTGTTCATCTACTAATTTCAGGAAGATACTACAAATACTTGTCTTCAACAACACTAATTTTCAGTGCTCATAAAGGGATAACATTTATTTGTTCTTATGAGTTAGAGATGATGGTCAAAACCTCTAAAGAAATACTTCAAGGAGCAGCAAACAATTGCATTCAATCTTCATTTAACAATGAGTGGTTTACACCTCTGTTGCCATCAGATTAACAGAGAATAAATATTTTGGATTTAGCTTTCTTTAAACATACTACAAATTAATAACACAAATAACCCAATAAATAAAAGCCAAGTAAGTCATTTCAGCAGATAACAACTTCAGTGGATTTATCTCTCCACTTAGCCATTCTTTTTAAGAAGATAGAAGGTATACAAAGTGGCTGTGGAACTGTTGGCTAGTACAGAAAGCCATGGGAAGTTGACATTCTCTCTCAAAGAGGCAAAGTGCACAGTAATGTAAGGCCAGCAGATGTTCAAGGAGTGGTGTCTCCTAACACTCAAACTATGCATCCCTGTGAACAGCCCCGAGCAGAGCAGCAGAGGGGCAAAAGGCCATGGCTGTTGGGAGCTCAAGAAAGAATAAAGTGTGATTCTCTCATCTTGAACAGGTGCAGCATAGCTCCTTCATCATTCAGCAGCCATTTTTGTCTCCTCGGGACTTTCTCTAGCTGACCTGCAAAAAAACCAAAAGGACTCAAATTTGCTGAGTGACTTCAAATGTCTCGTTCCCTATGAATTAAACAGGAAAAAACCAGGCGTAAAATTCTGTATGTACTGCCAGAAGCTCTATGTGTAGTGTATGTGGAAAGTCTAGGAACATAACATCCACAAGTCACAGAGCACAGACAGGCTCATTAGTGTTTTTTTCCTAAATTACCCATATGAAAGATGACAACATTATTCATGTGAATGAAGAAAAGGATTATTGCTCACAAGCATATAATCTCTAAGATATATGTATAATGAGCTAACCTATGTAATTAAACAAAACAGTAGAGACATTACAATGCCTACTGTCATTAATAATTCTACAACATGATTTCCAACTCTAATTAAATATTCAATGAGGAATTTATTCATCCCATCCCTTAACTGTACAGATTAAAAATCCATTTCTATATTCCACATTTGGTAACTTCAATAAAGAGATTTATCAAGACCATACTTTAATGGAATAACGGCATGCTTTGTAGTTTCGTGCAGTCACACAAAGTGCAGTATCTGCAGACAGGTCTCTTTCTCAGACCAATAAACACTATCTGGTATCCATGAATAATAGTTATGAACAGGGAAACAGGGATCATCAGTTATTTTCTAGCACGAAGGCAGTGCATGTAAAGATACAAAGCTATTATTAATGAATTCTCTTAAGGAGCCTTCTGTAAGAAGCTTAGAGATATTAAACAAACATTTCAAGTTTACTTATTTTACAGTAAATATTTTTCTAGAATAAAAGCTGATCATTCTCTATTTCCACACATGCGTATGTGTGCAGATGCACAAATATACACAAACTCATGCTTACATTCCCTACAGCGATGTGGGCATACGCTGATCCACTTGAAAACTGCAATATGTAACGTAAGACATTCAACGCTTACTGGTAAATCTGTAGTGGACATGCTGCTTGTGATGGAGTGGGCACTGAATTTGTTGGACTAACCAACATGGCACTATATATGTTGGAGGCAACCACAAGTATACAAAGTAGAATTGGTCCTATGATGGCTCCTTCCAGTCCCAGGTAATATGCTCCACCAGCTACTGCAAGACCCGTCAGGTAAGGATGACCACCTCTGGAATTACAGCACAAGCAGAATAAAGTTAAAACAAGAATGACAAACAACAACACTACTGGCTGCGGATCTGAAAAGCATATTAATCACAGTTTCATTAAGCTTATACAGCAATCTACTTATAGATACCCATACTCAGACTAAACTGCTGTTTGAATGACTGCATAAATGCCCTAAGCTGCATCTTGTACAACATTCACACAACACAACAAACGTTATCTTCATTAGTTCCACTCCACCTCCTGTGGGCAGACACCTTCCACTACTACATCAGGTTACCCCAGGCACCATCCAGTCTGACTGTGAACACCTTTGGGGATCTGAAGGAATTAACAGCACAAATATTTCCATTCTGAAAACGGAAAGATGATTCCTTATGAAGACTATTCATGCTTCACAGACAAGAACTCTTACATTTCAAGATAGCTAGCAGTATTTACTATGAGCATTCCTCAGCAGAGACATTACTTTATACAATGATCAGAATATTTAGCCTTTTGAACAAAAGGCAGGATACATCATTTATGAATTGTAGAATGGTCTGGGTTGGAAGGGACCTTAAAGATCATCTGTTTCCATAATACTGCCATTTTCCCCAAATATCCAATCTGTATTTTCCCTCTCTGCTTATGATCTCATAAGATCATGATAGAATCTGAGAGGGGAGGGACCTCTAAAGGTCATATAGTCCAAATCCCCTGCAATGAACAAGGACACAGACTAGATCAGGTTGCTCAGAGCTCTGTCCAGCCTGACCATGCATGTCTCCAAGGACCAGGCATCCACACCTTCCTGGAAAACCTGTTCCAGTGCTTCACTATCCTTACTGTAAAAAACTTCTTCCTTATATCCATTCTAAATCTCCCCCGTTTTAATCTGAAAGCATTTTCCATCATCCTATCACAACAGATCCTACTAAAGAGCCTACCCTCTTCTTTCCTATGGCCGCTATCAGGTCTTAGAAAGTGACTTACCACATCATACACACCTATTAATCATGTCTTTCTTGGACCAAATTCAACATACTGGAAGTGTCAAGCAGAATACTTTTTGAGAAGACAGACTCGACCTTAACATCTTATACTTCTCCAGCAGAAGACACACAATTAGTTTATAAACCTTTACGAATTTGGAACAATTTTTTCCAACAGTTGCATCACTTCCAAGTTTTTTTCTGGCTAGTTTGCCAATTCAGACCACATATCATCTGATGAAGTAGGACTGCAATATATATTTAATACATTTGGAAAACCTTGCATAACATAATTATAGTGATTTCAAATAGAATTAACCCAATTTGCAAGACAGCAGATTTATGTAATGGTAAAATACAATTTTTCTCCACTGTTAGAAAATCTATTCTTGCCACATATATTTTCTGAATGGTGAACAGAGCCTGCAACCCTACAGTCACAAATTTATTTCAATAAGTAGAAGAATTATTGGCTAGTTAAATAGCTATTGGCCTTAAATTTATCTGTGGTTTGTTGTTGAAAACAAATGTAATTTGATTATACTTCACCTGTTAGCTTTCACTCCTGGAAAATAACTATTGCTACAGTCTACGAAAGATTTTTAATATCGATCTCACTATCAGGAGGTTCTCTGTTTAGTTTAACTATACTTAACAGTTATAGGAGAAAAAAAAATAATCAAACTTAATGCTGAACTTAAACATTTAATGTTCTTAGTCTACATTAATTTACTACAATACAAATTAACACAAATGCGTTCCAGCACACAACCGTACCTGGAGCACGAATTACAGCAAAGACTGGGATCAGCAGTCACAGTCTGTCAGACAAAGTTCTCAATTCACATAGTTTACTACTAGGCTAGCTTCTGATGACCAAGATGGAAGCAGTGACTTTAAAGAGCACATTTTTTTATCTATAATGTACATGGCTGTGTACACATCTTGCACATATGAACTTTGACAGTTCGTATCTTTGTTGGGTCTGTAGAACTCCAGCATTTTCTCATTTGAATTCCATGAAGGGATTCATGAGGTATTTCAGCAGCATTACGTGTCAGTCGACATTTCAGCAGCATTTCTAGTACTCTAGATACAACTGCAGATGTTGACTCTCTGTCTCTATAGTTTGGAGTTAGCTTTTCTTTATTCAAAGCTGAAATCAGGAAGCATTCCAAACACCTAGCAAGATGCAGCCAAACACCTAGCAAGATTTTTCCAGAAACCTTCTGTGCTTATCTATCAGAACTGGAAAGCAAAACCAAATGCTGTCTCGCTATAAGCCTCTCCCTGCGTTCAGATTTTCAACACATTTAAAGATCAATTGATAATCAACAGATTTTTACACGGGGGTATAGCGGCACAACATGAAAGCTGGCTTCAAAACAATTCTCTGACTGAGAACAAGCTCAAAACATTTGAAACAACAAATCTGACAGAAAAGAGGCCTGCAAAAGTAATGGCACTTAGGCCAGTTTTACTACGAGATGGTACCACTGCACGTCCTTCTCTGTTTCAAGGCACTGCTCTGCAGCTTCACAGAGGTAAGTTCAAAGGCATCACTGCTAAGCATTTTTACAGTATGTAAACTTAAAAAGTTTTCAATATACTTACCCTGATATATCTGAATAAATGGCTGTATCTACAAAATAGGTTGGCAGCAGGTGAAAAACCAAGAGCAAAATGGCTTTGCATCCCTCTCCTTGCACAAGCCACAAGTCTAGGACTGCAGGGATGGCTGCCCAGTACGTCCCCAGAAATGGAACCGCTCCAAGGATTGCTGCTAATGCTAAAGAACACAGAAGGAGGAGTGAGAAAAAGACCAGGGAAATATTCTTCACAAAAATTCTGACTTTTGCCACACCAGTAGTCTCACTTCTATCAGCTGCTGTAAATAAGATACTGAAAAGACAGCACATAAGGCTCTTGTTGTTTTCTAACTGTGATTAAGGAAAAAGAGAACCACATTCAGGAAAATGGAACTATTCCCCGTACAGAAAAGCCTTACCAGCTGTCAGTCACAGTTACTTCCAATTAAGAAAAAATTAAAGATACCAATCATTTGCATTTCAAGCTTTTACATAACCACAGACCTAGCAAATGTGGACAAGAAAGTATACACTGAGAAATTCTTAGTGAAGCACTGTGACTTACCAGACCTCAGACATTACAACGTCAGTTGTACCGTGAGAAACCAAGCGTAAAACCCCTGACTTCAAGTATTTATATTTGCACATCTTTATGCATGCATACAAGTCTCTACCAGGCATACGGCCTTCTGTTTATACAAATGCTCCTTGTAATCTCAAATTATGTAGTACTGCTGTCATCTTAATTAAATCCAATATGAGTAACTATAGTAGAGAAAAAAGTTTTTTCTTTCTTTTTAGCCTCATTAGACAGAATACAAAACAAGATTTTGCAAGTTGCCAAAACAAAAGTAATGATTACGTAAGTATGTCTAACACCAGCCAATATCTTTAGGGAAGCTGGAATTTGTGGTACAGCTATTGGCTGCATTTCTTGTTTTGTTTTTTGTTTGCAGGTCCCCTTTCTGTTGCTCTGTACATGAAGGTGCAAGTGGCTTGCTGCTTGGGTTTTTTTAGAGGAATAGAGGGAAAACAGGAACAGAGAGATTTTTCAGTGGAAACTGTGCAGCCACTTTCATAGCTAAAATTTGTGGAGGCTGGTAAAACCAGAGGCTGGTAATGCTGTCAGGAAACAGCACTGAGAACAGAAAGCATGCCTCTACTGAGCATTTCCATGATACCAGAACTTGTTCTGTTTAGGTATCCCAGAAACATAGCACATATAAATTATGGAAAGATCCGGATTAAACAGAATGGAAAAAAATTACAACCAGTAAAAGAAACAGAAGTAAAACATTTTTCTGGGGCTATGCTATGAAGACAGAAAAAAGTATGGCTAAGAGATAAGACAGCAATCAGCGACTGATTAATTTGATCTGTGGTAGTTTAATTCAAACTTGGAGGAATCAGTTAATGATCAGGAGCTCTACAGAATCCCTACATACCACACGAAAGTATTAAACTTGTCACAGTACTTCCTACATCTGTTTGAATAATAAACAGGAAATAAAAATGAAGTTACATACTGAATGGGTATAATAAAGATAAAAATTCGGAGCAGCTACTCACTAAGTTCAGATCATATACTGAGTCCACTGACTCGGCTGTCATGGTTAAGAAAAGCAAAAAATAAAAACCAACCCAATTCTGTAGTCAGAAACTACAGAGACATTTGCACAAATCAATAACATTACGGTTGCATACACAACTCCAATGCTGATAGTTGCCAGTTTCTGATAGAACGTTCACTAAAAATAACCTCAGGACTAATCCTGTCAGCAACATTTAATCCTACTGCTCTTGTACAATAAAGTTATATAATGCTATGTATAAATAGATTACAATTGTTCAAATTCTTACCAGATGGTATGAAGACTATGTTAATCCCAAATATTGTGTGAGTCAGCCAAGTGTAGAGTCCATAGAACCCAGCCATTTTGAGGGAAGCATCAAATACACCTCTAAAACAATCACAGAAACTCTGTTAACTCTTATTGGCAGTACCATTCTGGGAACAGTGAAGGTATCTTTACGTGCATCTTTAACTATAAGGCGCTCTGATAAACTGCAAAGCCATCAGTGCCATAAATCACACAACTCAAAATGTGTACCTTTGGTCTGTCCTATGAAAAGGACAAACATTCATCATATTTATCAATCATGTCATCTGCAGGAGAAAATAAACAAACAAAAAAACAACATACCAGACGGTTTTTTTTACTACACAGCCTTGGTTCCTTGGATAAATTCCTTGAAAAAAGTTGCTCAGGAATCAGAGCACATTCTCTGGAAAAAGTAATCTTTTATCTATGAGAAACAGTACAGTTCTATTTATGAGCTACTTTTTCTTTGTCCTTTTCCATTTCTATCTCTCAATTCATTTTCTTTATCTTCTTGTATTTCTATACTCGCTCACTCTCATTGGAATAAAACAAAGGATCCAGAAGTGATACAGGCTGACTAAGCTCTCACTTTCTTACTCATATACACAGTTTTCTACATGGAAATAACCGAGCACTTGGCATTTATTACTGGTCTTGAGCCTCAGCATCTTTATATTCCTAGATTTTAGGCCGCTTATTATGTCACACTACTGAGAATAAAAAGCCTTCCGATGTAATTAACTCCTGGTGAACTTACATCCAACTTGCTGGCCACAAAATGAAGTATTCCTCTGTTAAGTGTCAGCATAGCTTCATGAGACAGCAAGCAGGCAGCTCAGTGCTGTGTCATTTTTACAGCACTGGCACATTCACTAAAGTGAAATATTCCGTAACTGAAAACTCAAATATCTCACCATTGTATTATGCTCATTTTTCAATCCTATTGAGAAAGACGCTGCCTCTCTTGAAAACACTATTCCAGCTTGGATCTAAGTAACTAAAGTCCCTCTGTTATCTCTAAGTTCCTTCCCTCAAAGAAGTCATAAAAGTTACACAGAATCACAGAATGGCTTGAGTTGGAAGGGAGCTCAAAGATCATGAATCTCCAACCCCCCTGCTGCAGGCAGGGCCACCAATCTCCATATCAAATACTAGACCAGGCTGCCCAGGGCTGCATCCAACCTGGCCTTAAACCCCTCTGTTGGAGCATCCAACAGGACATCACTACCCTAGAGGTGTCGCACACATCCCTCCTAGCAGCCATAAATGTAGTTGGCTGATGTTAAGTTCCCATCTTACATTTAACACAACAGAAGTGATGAAGTCAGATCATAAGCTAGAAGATTGTCACTGCACCTTGAGCAATAACAGTCTGCCTGGGAAACAGCCCCTCCTGGAAACAACCACCCCTAAGAACACAATTTCAATCCTCTGTTGAACTGATAAAACTTCTCTGCTTCCCAACTACCAAAAAGAATCTTCTTTTTTAGCCATCAGCAAGAATTCCAACATTGGCATCTTTGGGCTGTATTCTCATTATCAGCCCCAGGAACAGTGCATAATTTTTTGCAACTCTTTCCCACCTAAAAGCATGCATAGATTCCCAAGTGAATGCTGAACCAAATTACCTTGTTTAAAATTCATCCACTGGAATTTAGGAGTGCATAACAAGCCCTACAAATCCACATGGTCTTAGAATGTGAGATTCTCTTGATAGACTAACAAGAAACAGCTGCTGCCAGCCATTTTCCCAGCAAAAAAAACAAAGGTGGGAAAAGAAAAAGAAAGCCTTAGCAATTACTTGAAATAACAGACCCAATACTTGAAGATGATAGAGAAGAAGTGCTTACGCATTTGTGAGGCCTCAGCAAAGACAGACAGAATACCTCACAGATTGAAAAAGCTTCAATAACATCACAATGGGAAGTGACACACCTATATGCACATATAATCTGCACGTTTTGACTAGTGAAATACTTCTGCGCATTTTAGTCATACATGAAGCAAGCTTCTGGTGTAGTAAGAACTATCAAGAAGGAGAGAAGGATCCCAAAACCCAAAACCACAGAAAGAATGCTCAATGTGAATTTGCACTAAGAACTCACACTTCAGCTGCTCAAAAGTCTGATTTGTCTATGTTTTCTGTGACATTTATGCTCCTTCAGAGGCTATCCAAAAATGGCTGGATTGTAAGAGCTCAAAAGATGAACAGTTTCAATGGAGCTTTTGGCAATGGAAAACGCAAGGTAGCTGGTGCAATGAAGTGCAAGCTGAGCTGCACTGATCAGGAGACTGCAGCAAAAACTCTTCTGGCTGCAGTAAGGATACATTTGTTCCCTTACGCTTTTGTCCAGCCAACCTCCACAGCCCTGTCGATCTCTTAAATCTTAGGTCTGTCCCACAGAAACACCTGCCCGATACAAAGAAGGCTGGTTACCTCACCATCACTGAAACCCCTCATTGGTGATACAAAAGTGTATTTTTTTAACACAGTTTTCCACATTCTTCCAAAAGCAAATCAAGCAACCAAAAAGAAAAAAAAAAAAAGACAGAGAAAAAAAAAAACCACCAAAACAAAACAACAAAGCCAGAAAAATGTGTATTGTCAGAAGAAAATATTAAATCTAAATATTTAATAGCACTGATGAGAACTCAGATATCAGCACACTATAATTAAATCCTCAAGTAAATCTTTTTCCTTTCAAATGGGAGTTGTGGCACAAATACATTTCAGTTATTAAATATGCTTTAAGGCTGCCCTTGAAGTATCTCCTTGTTTTGCCTGTAAAAACATTTCCTGTAAGGTAGAAGAAGAAACAAGGCCTTAACTTCTATGAGCATGGCTCTAAAATACATTTCACCATACAGGATGCAATGCAAAGCCCTGACAGATATCTGAAATACCTTGAAACAAGCAGTCACTTTAGGTTTTCCTCCAGAGACCTCAGAAAAAAGAGTGGGCAGTCTCTTATTATTCTAATTACAAATAAATAAATAAACAGGAAAATTATCCCAATGGCCCAAAATAACTGCTGTGAATTTAACCATGTCAAGGAACAGCTGCAGAACTATCCAAAAGCAATCCAAGACTAAAACTAATTCTGCCTTTCCATCCAGGCACTTTTTCTGAACTTTTCAGTTCAGGCAAGCTTCATTTTTATCTTCAGATAGATTTTATTCAAGTCTAAATTCCAGTTCAGACATGTTTTCTGCTGACGTAATCATGCGGTTTGTAGGAAAACTTTACATTGTAAATCCACAACCCACAGATGCAGCAGCAGCAAAATAACTGAAAAGTTAATTCCAGACAACAGCTGTGGCTGAACCTAATGTCATTCTGCAACCTTCATTAGTTACTGAAGTTTGTAAACCATTCTGCAAAGATGGGAGGAGCTGTGGTAATTTATGGGCACAGATCACAAATCAAAGTGGACCTGAAAAGGTCACCTTAAAAAAAAATGCAGTTGAAACAATGAAAAAAAATAGCATATTTCAGCAGCAAAAATAAAAAAAGAGTGCAGTAAATGGAATCACCAGTAGCTCTATGTATATATCACATATGTATGTATCTGTATCACCAGAGCTAATGATTGCAATAGATTACAAGCAAGTCAATATCACATTAATGCAAAAATAGGAAACACTGTATGACCTGCACATACACTAGGATTGTCTATGAGACACATCTCTAGTACCAATTTTACTTAGCAATGTCCAGGCATCAGCTCTGAGACTGCTGTCCAGACTGATTTACTAATGCTTCAAGAAAAATGCATGGTTGCAATCTATGGTGAAAAGCAGAAAGAATGATGGGCAGTCCAGAACAGGTGATCTCTGAGCAAAGATATCACCAGAGAGGAAAATCTGAGGAAAGGACAAAAGATACCAAAGACAGCTGCAATGATGAAGTAAATGCTGCTTCTTCCCCACTGTGGGTTGGACAAGAAGGAGGATATCTGAACTAGAAAAAGAAACGCTTCGGTTAGATGTTGATTTAAACTTCTTCACGCGTAAGTCAGGGCTGTCCACCTCTGAGCTTTCAATACCAAGTTAGAGTAAGGTGCTAGCTGCTGTGATACGAGGCACAAATCCACATGCCCATATAATGTCACAGCAGGTCTGCAATGCATGCTCATGGCTGGCAAGAAGTATTTATCTCTAAAAGGCCATAGTATGTATCTCTCCAGATAGTACAGTATGGCATCTCTCCAGATCCTTGCATCAAACTAATAAGCTAAAAGGAGAAGGCATCACTCAGTGCAGAAGACCTGTGAGGTGCCAGCGGTGAAGTGCAAAGTGAGAGGAGTCTGCATTTGATTTCATTCTCCTTCTCTATTTCTTTATGCCTGCCTCCTCCCTCAATGGCAGAAAAAAAGTGGATCCAACCCTGTGGCTCGGGGGAACTCCAAAGTCTCTTCAAGACTCATGTTTTTTACTGCTATCAGGAACACTAAGAATTGCATTTTGAAGACTCTAGAAATTCACATTCATTTGGCAGCTTAGAACACAGAACAGAACGTTTACAAACAGCGCATTTTCACTACTTTGCATCTGGGATACCTGTGGCACGCGAGTGCCAAACACTGAATGAATTTATTACCATTTGTACAAAGAGTAACTTCCTGATGAAACTAGGACAGTAAATAAATGAATTTTGGTTCTTAGCACCTTTGGGTATACACACAGATTCCTTTCATACATAAAAATAACTCTACGTTTCAGAAATCAGAAAATCCAATTACAGTTCACATCTCATACAGGTACTGTATTTGGATGAGCCGCTCCAGCTACAAGAGTTATCATCTGCCAACACCTACTTTATAAGCACTTCAGGCAACTTAGTGTAAGGCACACTTAGACATACGTGTTTTTATAGAGTTCTGAAAAGTAGGTAAAACTGGGGGGAAAAAAAAAAAATCAGAGGAACATGAGTCACGCTTCACATTATTGAGATTATAAATGAATTAACTTCTGTCAAGTTGTCAGATGTTTCTGCATAATTGGCCTAAACTTTATTTCACCGAAAAACTAAGGAGCTGCTTTTAAATTTCACAAGGAAAAGCGAGACCAATGTATGG